AAAAAAAAGAAAAAAAGTCTCTCCATAAAAAGAGAAATCAACCTGCTGGCACCTTAATCTTGGACTTCCAGCTTCAAAACTTAGAAAAATACGTCCGTCACTCAAGACAGCCACTCTGGTATTTCGTTATTGCAGCCTATGTTTTTTGGTTTTTTTTTGAGAGGTTTGGCTATAGAGCATGTGTACTCACCAGAGAGACAGAGAGAGACAGAGAGATAAAAAGTGAGAAATCACCCACCAAAGGGATGGCCACATGGTAATCCATTCTCCTCCATTCTCCTCTCGGGATCCTGGGCACGCAGACTCATGTGCCCAGTGTGAGTTTAAGCCACCGGGTCTGGAACTCGAACCACAGTCGAGTACATGGGAGTCCAGTGACATAGCCATTATGCCAACTGTGGTCTCATGGCCCAAGTTTTTGCTGCAGACACATTTCAAGTCAGCCCAGCTCGCGTTGTGGAAATGATGGGCACTTCCAGCCTACCATGCCTTCCAAAGAGCGGGCTCCTTGTCTCCTCAGCCGGGCCCAGCTCCTTCAAAGTGTGGCCCAGGCTCACCTACTGCAGACCACAGACTGTGCCTGGCAGGGGTGTTATGGTGGGAGCCGACATGGATCGGGCACGTGCCAAGAGCCAGCTGCTATCTCAGGGATTCAGATCCGCGTGCATCCAGTCCTCACCACACTACCCCTTTCACAGAAGGGGAGACTGAGAGCCAGAGAGACCAAGCGGAGGATCTTGCTACCCACCACTGTGGCACTGGCCGCATCCCTGTGTGAGCAGGTGCCCATATTTCGGCCTTTGTGATGACTCTGGAGGCTGCCTGAGGCAGGCTGTCTCGCTCATCATGTGTCCCAGCAGCCCCTGTGGCTTCCTGGCCCCTGGGAGCCGGCCTGCAAGTCAAGTACGGCCGGCTCCACTACCTATTCAGGGTGGCACGAGGTTGCACAGGGAGAAAGAGGCAGTGCTGGTGCATGAAACCAGGGCTCCCATTTCAAGCCCAGCACTCCTTCCTCGTCACCATTCTCTACCCTGATGACCTCCTTAAATGCCAGGCCTGTTTTCTATCCTAGGACAGCTGACTTCAAAGACCTTTGAAGGATACTGGTGAATCCTGAGCACCCCAGAAATGAAAGCTGCCTCAGACGACCTGGACTAGCCTCCCTGGAAGAACCCTGGAAGGGCCGTGGCCTGCCTGGATCATGCAGCTATTAAGTGCCAGGGTGGGATCTGAGCCTGCCTCTGGGGCGCTCTGCAGGAGGACGTGAGGTTCTCATGAACACGCAGGACCTGAGCTTCCTCTGCTGGTCCCGGTCATGCCCACGTACCTGGCAGAGTGTGGCCATTGCCTCGGCAGTTCGGACATTCTCCTCCTCCTCCAGGTCGCTCTGCATCAGCCTCTGCCTCTCCAGGACCTCGTGAAAAGCCTGTGAGTAAAACAGTAGCTGAAGCAGTAGGAAAATGCAGAATTTATTTCCAGAAAGTTTTCCCTGACCGACCCCAGCCTCTCAGATCGAATGTTCCCGTCTGTATTGCACACAAGGAAACCAAGACACGGGGCTGTGGTGATGCTCCCATGGCTTACGACCTGCAGCTGAGGCCGGGACCAACAACTCTGATCTCCAGGAAAGCCACTGAGTTTTGTTAAACCCAGTGTGACAGAAAGCCACAGGGCCACTTGTCCTCCTTCTGTCCTGGCCACTAGCCACTCAGACATCATCCTCTGATCTGTCCCCCAACTGCTGGGGACCATTACCCAGGCCCTAGAGACTCACCAGGGAAGCCTGGAAGGACCTTGCAAACAGGCAGCTACAGCCAGAGTGGTCAGAGACCAGCCAGGCCTGCCCTGAAAGGCAGCTGGGGGTCCTGCAATGGGGATCCTGGCAAACTGACAGGAGAGATGGGCAGACTGTGCAGGGCATCGGAGAGTGCGACACCGTCAGAGCACATGGCAGGGTGTAAGGACATGCGGACATATCCCTCTTGGGAGACTGCAGGAGAAAATTAGTCCCCAGGGAATTGTTTAAGCTGAGTGTTCCTGTCTTTTTGGCTTTTGTCATAGAGAGCATGCACTTGCTAGAGAGACAGAGGGAAAGTGAGAAATCACCTCCCAAGGGTATGACATCATAATTCCTTCTCCATTCTCCTTTTGGGATTTTGGGCACACATGTACATGTGCCTAGCACAATTTTCAAGCCACTGGGTCCAGGACTTGAACCACAGTTGGCCATGTGTGAATTCAGCGCCTTAACTACCACTCCACCTGCTGTCCCCTAAGCTGCGTCTTCGCTAAGGATGAGGAGCTTCCTAGAGGGAAGATGGGAAACCAAGGTGACCCAGGCCCGAGGAGTAACAGCTGCACCAAGAGGAAGGGTTTTGGGTGGGGAGGGGAGGGCGGCCTGGGGTGGGAGGGGAGGCAAGAGAGAAGGCAGGGGCCAGAAAAGAGAGGATGCTGAATGTGGTGCTCGAGAATTTAATGCTCACTAGTTCACTTGTTCGTTTATTTGATCATTCCTTCCTTCATTAATTGTTCTGTTTATCCATTTGTCTGTGCATTCATGCATTCACACATTAGTTCATTTACTTCTCCATTCATTCATTCGTTCACTCACTTGTTCATTGGTTCATTTGTCCATTCTCCTCCATTTATTCATTCACTTGTTCATTCATCCATTCATCCCTGTATTCATTCCTCCCTTCTCGCCTTCATCCCGTGTCTCTTGCACGCCTGTGTCTGGCCCATGCTGAGGACCAGGGATGGAGGTAACTCAGTCACCTTCACACTTGGGACTCAGCACTGAGCACTGTGATGTCACGGAGAGGAGCCCAGAAATCACTGAGTACAATCATACCATCTTCCTTACCTCAAACGGACCTTATCAAAGACAGAAAAAGCCCATGCTCTTTTATGACAAACCCCAAGTTGTGAGCTCTGGAAGATGCTCCTCGCAGGGAGGAGCAGTTGAACCAGAAACTTACAGGCCTGGCCTCTGTTCTCAAGGAGTCCCCTTCCCTTGGCCTCCCGTGGGCCACAAGGAAAGGGCCATGTACCTATGCTCTGGCTGAGTCCAGACCCTGATATCACCCTGCCATTCTCTGGGTAGAGCTGAGACAGGCTGCACTAAATGCTAACACAGGCAGAAGGGCCCAGAGAACATCCAGGCCTGCTGCTTCCTACTGGCACACTGCACCCTAAGAACGCACTGACGTAAGTCTATTACTCCCCTTTCACAGAGGAGGATGCCGAGGGCCAGTGCGAGGGGCAAAACCCCCAAGCTCATTCAGCCCATTAGCGGCAGTCAGCATCTAACCCGGGTGCAGCTGGCCCTGGCTCCTGGGCTTAACCACCATGCAAAACGAACACAGGCAACAGTCCTTCCTCCAATCCTACTGCCGTTATTAGGAAAATACAGAGAGCGAAATAGAGTCCAGTTTATGCTGGTGCCAACTGACATCTTTTCCATCAAGAAGCAAGAGGCTTCTTGCTTCCTCTCCTTCTGCGGGCCCCCCACTCCCTCCCCAGTCAAGACCAATGGCATATGCACCTGGCTACCCCCCGGGTCCTGCCTGGCTCAGTCCCACATGCAAGGCTGAGGGCTGCATCCCTTCTCCTGGACTTGCACCCGACCTGCAGGGCCCCAGGCCCTCCGTCCCACACAACATTCCCTTGGTGCCACTGCACAGGGCCACCATGTGTGGAGCCCTGCTGTGTGCTGGTGCTGCCAGGCCCGGGCAGTGTGTTCTCACCAAGAGTTTACAGGCGAGGGGAACAAGGACACTGGGACTAAGGGACTCGGCTGCCAGGTGGCAGGTGAGGAGTGGACCTCGTATCTGCGAGATCCCCCACCCCCGTAATACAAGGGGGACTGAGCTGCCCGACTGGCATGTGCCCAAGAGGTGGGGGGGGAATCACCTTGAGGAATCCTTCCGGGTCGGTGCTCAGCCTGGCCTCAGCCAGAAAGCGTCTCCGCTCCTCTTCTTGGGTCAGTGTGAGCTTCACGGTCCTCTCTGCCTGGTGAGCCAAAGAAGCCTTGGCCAGGTCTTTGCCTCGCTGGGCAAACTCTGGGGGTGAAAGAAGCCACAGGACAGGCGGTGACTCTTCCGCGAAGGGCTGAAGAGGCTAGTCCTGCTGCAGAGGTGTCTCCCTCGGAGACAGACTGCGTTTCTCTCTGGTCACACTATGACTCAGTTCTGGATGCTGTGTAAGTGCTGGGTCCCTCTGGGGTGGGGAGGAGCAGGCGTGGGAACAGGTGCAGCTTGCCATGCCAGGTTCCTCTCCACACACTGGACCATGACCCAGCCTCACCCACCCTGCAGCTGAGCAGGGTCATGGGACTCGGACAGGACTCTGGGCTGTAGCTAGAGACGTGGGTCACTTCTGGGTATCACTGTTGATTTCTGGTATGAGACACCCTCCTCTACCCCCAGCACCCTCTCTTGCCCCTCTGAATGTTCCAGATGGCCTTGCTGCAGAAGGCCTGAATGACTGATGATCAAAAGAGCAGGCAACCCTTGACCCTAGGAAGGAACCCAGCCCCACCCTTGGCCCTGCCCACTCACCCCTGCTGAAGTGCTCTGCCTCCTCCCAGAATGCTTTGTGCTGCTGTGTCAGCAGCTCCTCCTTCTGCCGCCCAGACAGCCTCCCCTCAATGGTCAGCAGCTCCAGGCCGCGGGATATGGCAGGCACGCGCGAGTTTGTCTCTTTCCC